GCCGCCCAAGGCCCCTTTCTCGCCCAAAGCGCCCAAACCACCAAAGGCACCCAACCAGCCCAGGCCCCCAAGAGCCCCAAGGCCCCCCAAGGCGCCCAGGTAACTAAGGCCGCGCTGCGTGGCGCACATGCATCCGGACGAGGCTCAGTTTTTCCAGTCCGTGTGTCTAACAGCACGGGTGTTCCCACCAGCCTGGGATATGCGTACCGTATTGGTGTTGGGATTGCTGGGCAGACATGCATCGATATGTAGGCATTCAGTTAACCACTTCAGCACGCCGGACCGCTGTTCACCGAACTGCGACCGGCATAGCAGCAGCACAGTTCCACTGCCTGCTTACCATACATGGGAAGCAGGAGGTTCATGCAATGCAGGGATGTGTCATCGGTCCGTCATCACTCGGGGCGGACGGGAAAGCAAGCAGTGGGAATAAGCAGTAGCGGGCAGCAGTGGTGTGCGAATCAAGTCCTGATTGTCGTGTAAACTACACGAAGAATGTTTTCAAGGTGTCGTACTGTGTACCCTAGCCACGGAGTTGGGCGACGTGGTGTTACTGCTACGTGACTACGTACTGCTGTCGCGTGGTGGCAAACATGCCATGTCTGCTTGGTCAACTGTTGCCGTTACCAGCAGTCATGGAGCTGTTGATGGGGGTTGTTACGCCGTGTGGGCGGCTCGCCCAACAATATTCCAACAGGTAGCTACGGATAGAAGACGACAATCGAATCCTCCAAGCAAACTGAAATGTTTGTTTGTGATATTATTGTGGGATGTTTGTATGTGGGACGTTTTCTTATTTTTGCGCCAATTGTCGTTTACGTACCTCGAAATTAACATGCATGGCATGCATCACCAAGGTATGATAAGGTTGGACACGCATAAGTCATAAACCAAGCAATGGGCGGAGCACATCGCCAGGGATGAAAGCATGCATGGAGTTTGCCCATAATAAGGAGAAAGATAAGGACGCTGTTACTACAGAGTGGGAGGCTTCTAGGCCACTTGAACACAATGTCCTTTCTACGACTTATCACCATACAGCACCATCCACCATTGCCACACTGTACACGCCATACGAACTGCATGTTCAGGCGTGTGATCCTGCCTTCGAGGACTCCTCCTCATCCAGGCACTCGAACATCCGTAGAGAGAGAGGGTTAAGCAATCGCCACCAATCCAGCGTGCGAATCTCGGTCCTTCAACTGAGATCTCAACTCCACATTTCAGCAGCTAACCATAATCTCTCGTGCTCGACAATACAGGGGATCTACCCATGATTTGAACCCGGGGCTTTAAATTGCATATGGCAGTAGTGCTGTAGCAAATTTGGATGTGTCGTAGCTCGATTCATTGAGGCGTGGCCCGGGTGGTGTCAAGGTGCAAACTGATTTAGCTACTGGCTGGTCTCATCATTATTGGCGGCTGTTGGCGGCGGTCGGCAGCGGTCCGGACCTCCAACACCAGTAGTAGTAGTCAACTGGTCATGTCTTTCGAGATCCACCCCTTATTTTTTGGGATATGTAATTTTTGGTCTTGTTGGCGGGATCTCTGGCTGGTGTGGTGCTAGGATTTGATTGGCGACCCCCTCGTTTGATCCTATATTATTAGGCACAGGGTGCTCCTGGAGTATAACCAGCTAGCTTCTAAAGGAGAGATGTACAGTCCGCTGTCCCTCTAGTAAGGCGATTGATCGACTTGTTGGTCCCATTGTAAAGTTGCATCCTAAGTTCGACTTTCGGTGAAAGAGGTTTAGGGGTACGTTTGTAACGTTCGTATTTAATTACCCCTGAAGCTCCCGTACCTGCCACCGGTGCATTTGCTTCCAGTAAAAAGTCAGCAGCATGCATAAACACGTACTTACGTATGCAGAAAAGCAACTCGACATGAGGATTAGTCAGCATTAATAGTCCTCCCATGTAATTAGAGCGCAGGTGTATGTGTTAGGTACTCGCGCCAGGGAGTCCCCCCCTCTCGGAGTGCCGATGCCCCGGAGTGGAAGTTGGCTAACGAACTACGGCGAGGTCAGGAGCACCAATTGAGTTAATTATTGCTTTTCTTGATAGCTTAGATTTTAAGCAAGCGGGCATACTTTTGTAGATGGAAACTGTGACTGCCGGACAGAGGAGTCTGCTGCTATTTAAAGTTCACAGATCAACATTTGAACCTCGCTTTCCTTGACACGTGTAAAACTTGAATTATTATAACATAAATAAAGCTACCAACAATTGCGCTAATAATTAATAATCGTTAACAACTTCTAACTTCTATCGTCACAACCGTCTTAATAGCTCCTAACAGCCATCCAACATCGATCTGTCGACAAATGGGCCTATGACAGCAACCTAGAACGAGACCTGTAACAATATCTCAAACCAAATATGAAATTAACTTCTGGATTTATTTGCCATAGCCTATGCTTTCTCCCATCTGGTTGCTGGAAGCAGCAACAGTTGACCAAGAAGACATGGCATGTTTGCCACCACGCGACAGCAGTACGTAGTGACGTAGCAGTAACACCACGTCGCCCAACTCCGTGGATAGGGTAGACAGTACGGCATGCAATGACACCTTGAAAACATTCTTCGTGTAGTTTACACGACAACCAGGACTTGATTCGCACACCACTGCTACCCGCTACTGCTTATTCCCACTGCTTGCTTTCCCGTCCGCCTCGAGTGATGACGGACCGATGACACATCCCTGCATTGCATGAACCTCCTGCTGCCCATGTATGGTAAACAGGCAGTGGAACTGTGCTGCTGCTATGCCGGTCGCAGTTCGGTGAACAGCGGTCCGGCGTGCTGAAGTGGTTAACTGTATGCCTACATATCGATGCATGTCTGCCCAGCAATCCCAACACCAATACGGTACGCATATCCCAGGCTGGCGGGAACACCCATGCTGTTAGACACACGGACTGGAAAAACTGAGCCTCGTCCGGATGCATGTGCGCCACGCAGCGCGGCCTTAGTTACCTGGGCGCCTTGGGGGGCCTTGGGGGCTTGGGGGGCCTGTTCTGCGTGGGATTTATGGGCGGTGGAGCTAGTAAAGGCGGTAGCAACGGTGGTGGCGGTGACGGCCGTGATGGCGGTGGCAGCGGTGGCGGTGAAGACGGCGGTGGCGGCGGTGATGGCGACGATGATGGTCGTGACCGCCGTGACGGCGGTGGCGGCGGTGGCGGCGGTGGCGGCGACAATGATGGTGATCGTGGTGACGGCTGTGGCGGAGGGGGCATCCGTGATGGTAATGGCGGCGGCGGCGGTGGTGGCAATGGTGACTGTGGTGACGGCGGTGGCGGCGGCGACTGTGGCGACGGCGGTGACGGTGGTGACTGTGGTGACGGCGGTGGCGGCGATGACGGTGGCGATGGCGGATGCGGCATTGACTGTGGTGGCGGCGGTGGCGACGGTGACGGTGGTGATGGCGGATGCGGCGGTGACGGCGGTGGTGGTGGTGACGGTGGTGATGGCGGTGATGGCGGTGGCGGTGGTGATGGCGGCGATGGCGGTGGCGGTGGTGACGGTGGTGACGGCGGAGGCGGAAGTGAGGGGGGTGATGGCGGTGACGGCGGTGATGGTGGTAACGGCGGTGGCGGTGGCGATGGCGGTGAAGGTGGTGGCGGCGGCGACGGT